GTATATTGAGTACTTTGATATCTTTAGTATTAAAGTTTACTAGGACTTGCAAGATGGCTCAGCATATAAAGGCAGCCAAGGCTAAGCCTGATGAAGTGAGTTAGATACCTGGGACCCAGAGGGTGGAAGGAGAGAAACGACTTCTGCAAATTATCCTCTGACCATGGCATGCACTCCCTCAAATAAATAAATAAATGTAAAATAAAAGTTTACAAACATATTTCCTTGTGGCCTCCTTGGCCCAAGTCTGATTTCATACAGTTCTAAAACTTCAAATTAGCTAAGAAAGGAATTTCTAGAAGGAACTCATTCTTGGTTGGGATAGACGATTTCCACAGAAGGCAAATTCCTGTCCAGAATCCTTGTTTTGCTTGAGTGGTGGCAGTTAGACCTGGTGACACATTTGCAGGGCAAAATTAAAGCCAGGAAGTGCCAAATGCTGACTAGAAGTCTGGATAACACAGAGCCGTTCCTTATAATGTCATAGAACTCACATAGTGACTCCTAGAATCAATATTCCACCACTGTCCAGCATTAGTAGCAAGACTCATCAAAGGTTGTCGAGGAGTTTGTAGGCTGCAGGCTGAGATCATAAGGTAATTAAACAGAATTAAAGCTAAAATAGAACGAATATGATTTAAGCAATAAATTCATATGTGACACTCCCCTCTTGCCTGCTTCTGAAGGCAGGGAAGCTTTGGTTGTTAAAGAGTAACTTTTAAAAGAGTTGGAAGGGGCTCCAGTTGCGGGGGGCGGGGGAGGGGGGAGGGGAGGCATTGGGTCACAGGCTCAGCCCCCCCCCCCTTTCCCATTTTTCCTTTTCTGTTTCCTAGAGAATCCTGGGAAGACCAAAGGCTGCTGGCAAAGGACACAGAGCCAGTAAAGAGCAGCAACCAAGGCCACATTGACTTCTAAGATCAGTGAAGCTCACTTTAATAATGCATAGTATTTAATCCAACACATCACAAGTACAGCCATTTCTGTAACCAACATTGCCAATAATCAGTGAGCTCTTTCTCATTCTGAATCTTTAAAATCCAGTGTGTGTGTGTGTGTGTGTGTGTGTGTGTGTGTGTGTGTGTGTATGAATGTATGTGTACATTCTGAATTTTGGGTGCTTAGGGGCCATATGTGGTGGCCAGCTACCCTCCTGAATAACATGGAGTCCATATGGCATTCTGAGAGCAATCTGGGAATAAAAACAGAAAGTGCAAACCAGGAAACAAGCTGACAGTCCAGTCAAGTTGTCAAACCTGGAACAAAACCAGATCCTGAGAGGATAGAAGGAAAGGCCCTCAACTTTCTGGCTCTGTGTGCCTAGCTCAAAGTTCTGTGGCCTGGAGGTCAGGTACTCAGTTCTGATGAATGATCTAGGTTTCAACTGAGCACAGTTGTGCAGCTGAGAAACACCCTGTGCTAGAAGGTGAGTCAGTCACGTGTGAATATAAGGGTCAGTGTTTGGCACCTGTGTGTGCAAGTGCACATGCACATTTGAAAAAAAAAGCACCTCCAAGTGTGTGGGAGGGGGAGAGGGGCAAGGGCATGCTCAGGGCAGTTCCCCAGAAATGGGGAGAGTCCTCTGGCAAAGACATGTCTCTGGCTACCAGCCTTGCCAATGCTGCAACCTAGGACCTCTACAGTCCTTCAGATGTCCTAAGTACCTACAGGGAGCCAGGTACTGCTGAAAACTGAGAGCCCACCTTGTCCATGCTGTTTACATGGTGCTGACCACCCTGTGATGGTGGTATTCAAATGACTTCTCTATAGTCTCCCTGGTTTTGGGCAGCCTGGAATGCTCAGAGAATCAAACCCAGAGAAATCAACCTCCTGGTCTACAAGATCTCTTCTCCACTTATTTTCCCACAATTTTTCTTGTGTTTACAAAGCAATATTTTGTTGAACTTTACATGCATCCAAGCCCTCCTCATTCAGGCTATCAAGAACTTGGAAGGCTCCTTCGGAGGGCTGAGTATACTGGGGAGGCCTCACCCACTGCAGGAGGACATGTTTTGCAACTTTCCTGTCTTGGGGCTGATCCTGCTAGAATCAGCCTGGTGGGCTTCTTGGTGTTTATGGGGAACTTGCTCCACCCAAGGGAGAAGACAGAGGACAGCAACAGAGTCCTATGAAGAGACAGGGAACATGGCAATAGGGCAGGATGGCTCAGGCCTATGACACTAGCATCCAGGAGGCTGAAACAAGTAGATTGCATTGAGTTCTAGGTCAGCTTGAGTTACAGAGTGAGACCCTGTCTCAAAACCAAACAAACAAATAGGGAAAAAAGAAACAGAAAGGAAGAAAGAAAGAAGAAACAAAGAAAGAAAATGCAATACAACAGAGGCTCCTGGGGCCTCCCCAGCATCTATCAAATTCCTCCCCATTAGGCTATGTGCTGTGCATGGAGACTAGAGGGATGTAGTCCCAGGTTCTGACAGGGCAGCAGGCATTCTATAGGCCACTCACTGCTGGGTCCTTAAGCTTAGCTCCCACCACAGAAACAAAGGGCCTCTGGCCTAAGAGCATTCTTTCCTGTCCTGGTTGGGGGGCTGGGCAGGAAGAGAGGGTGGAAGTGAAGTGAATCTGAGTTGCGGTGATTTGAGCATGCAGAGCCTGCTTGCTTCTCTGGGAAGTATGGCTGGGAGTTCAAGCTAATGAAAAGAATGAAAGCACCTGTGGCTGGCAGGCTTGTTCCATTTCTCCATCCTGACTCTTTCCATTCATTTAAGCCTGCAAGCCGGAACAAGAGAAGACAGAAAAGCCTCAAATTCTGCAGTTGTTCGAGCCAGATGCCCGAGCTCAGAAGCCCAGGGACAGTTTGTAAAGTTTTCAAATCCTTTAGTCAGAAGTGACTGCAAATTCGCTCCTGCCCACACACTCCTCATGTTCCCAACAACAGAAGCAGCTTTAGACTTTGAAACTTGTCACAGACAGAAACACTCAAGAGAAGGCTGCTCATGAATTCGGGTTGTATAATTTTCAGAGTCTGATGCCTTGCAAGGGTGACACGGCTGTGGCAGCCGAGGGTCCAGGGCCGCAAGTCTGAGCAGCTGCCCGGGGCTTTGAAAGGCCCAGGACAATGGGTGCACTGTTCCCAGGGCTGGCCTCCAGCATTTGCATAGACTGTTCTGCCTGGCTGACCAGGGGCTGTCCTGCTCGGCATTGTCCACAGATCACTTCAAGATGGCAGAGGTGACAGGATTCAGGTGAGAGCTGAAGTGGGGTGACATCCAGAGGGCATGAGGAGGAACTCTCCTGGGAACCTTGACTTGAGCTACTTTGCAGGGATTCATGTATTTGCTTTTGAAGATTTCCTCTGACTATTAGGAGAGAGCTTGCAGGGCCCAGATGGGGGAGTACCCTGGGGTATCCCCTTGTCTAATAATCTAAAAATGTGATGGACCAATGGGGGTTCACTCTTGGATATTTGAGTTTTGCTGTGGAAATGGAGGCTCAAGGTGGTCACCTTATGAAATGGAATTTCCTCTTCAGAAATGACATCTTGAAAAATTGACACCAAGGTGGGAATGGGGGGGGGGAGGTAGGAGCATCAAAGCCAAGATGTATAAATACCTCCTAGTAACTAACCAGCCAGGCAAGAAACAGGGCTAGTTTTACAAGCAGCTGAACGGTTTTGACACCTGCAGAGAAGTCACCAAGGTGCAGCCCATTGGGCACCGAGTGCTTTTTCCCACGGAGTTGATGTTTTGACTCAGCTGAAAAAGTTTTTCTGACCAGTGCTTGCTGCCTAGAGCTTTGGCATCACAGCCCACCACCTTTAGCTCCAGTGGGCAGCACTAGGGGCTGGAAGACTGGGACTTATTTCTGCGCCCAATTCCAAGTAAACACTGCCAGTTCTTTGCTTAGAGGACCTGGATTCTGAAGGAGGAAATTCCAGGGGAGGGGCCTAAGGCACAGCAGAGGGTGGGGTAGGAGTGAGGTTGGAAACTCAAGTTGGGAGGGGACAATTTTTCTGTATCTAAACAGGCCAGGGGCTGAAGCATCTGCAACAGCATTTCTGTCAGGCCAAAGCACTTTATTCCCACAGCCTACTTTTGCCTCTCGCAGGCCGGGGTCCCCACAGGCCCGTCTCTTCCTCCTCTACATCCTCTGTGCACCTCTGTGCCTGCGCATCCCCACCTGATCCTAAACAGGTGCTAGCAAAGGTACCACATCCAGAGGGGCAGCGAGCTGGCTGGCTTCCGGCACCGCGAGGACCTGGGGGGATGATGCTTCCGAGTTCCCGCCCCTGTTACACTGTGGATTGCTGCACCGCTCATCTTGGGAATATAGCGATTAATCCAGCCGCAGGTTTCCAGATAAGTGACTGCGATGGAGACTGTTGGCGAGAAAATAGACAATTATCCGCTGTTAGCTTTACATAAAGATCGCATTAACTCAAATTAGTTATCAGACAAAAGAACGTCGGCAAGCGCGTCCTGCCCGCCAGCGCCCTGCACGCCGGCACCTCGGGGTGCGGCCGGGCAAAGCGTGGGGCTGGGCTGAGGCCTCGCGATGTGGGAGGACACAGAGGGGGACTTAGGCTGGTGCCCCTCATGCTGTGCTGACCTGGACGCGTTGGGTAGGGGCTGACTACCGGGTCGGATTAGCCCGCCCCTGAACTCCAGTGGTCCCATTTCAGTCTGTCCCACGCTTGTCCCTTCTCCAAGCTATACACGCCGAGCCAGCCTGTCCTCGTAGCCCGTAGTCCTTTTGACGCTACCAGGGATGCCATTTAATAACACTAGACAGAGATGTCTCCTCGTTCTCCACGGTCCTGCTGGGTGCACTGGACCACCTGGTGACCCATCGGCCATGGTCCCTCCCACCGCACTTTGTGGAGGTCGCTCTTCGTGGGACTCGCAGAGAGGAAAGAACGACCAGCTGAGTTGGGGACAGGGCTTGTGGGGATAGGAGGGGGGAAGCCTGGGGCAGCGATAGGTCACTGTGGCCTTGACAACCGAAGTTACGCATTGTGGAGGCACAGCGTATCTCCACCACCTTGGTTCTCCTGTATCCCCCTTAGCGCGGACACCAGCTTTGACGAACAGGATAGATTTCACGGACTACTGTCTGTGGGAACAAACACAGCGCCCCAAATCCCGGTGGGATGCAGCCCCCAGCGGGGTCCCTACTGCCGCAGGCGCACACTGGCGGTAGTGCTTGCGCCCGGCTGGCCTCCCCGGCCTCGGGGTCCCCGGCCCCGCTGAATAGCACGGATAATGACCCCCGGTTCCCAAGGCAGGCTCTCTGCTGCCTGGTGAGCCTTGGATTTGTGTGGTCCAAGCCTTTCCCAGCTTGTCCCATTCTGTCACCGGGATAAGGGGCTCCCTCGGCTCGTTTGCACCTGCGTCGCTTTTGGCTCCTTCAGGAATGCGCTGAAGCTTGTAATCAGCTTTGTGAAGCCATTGAGTGCACGGCTGAGTGAAACTTCCAAAGCTCGAGGAAAACTGGCCGGCTGAATAGGAGCCAGCATGGGGCTGCTCTCCAAGCCTCCGCGCTGCCAAATTCCAGCAGAGCGCCTCACAATCGCCTTCCCCACACTGAGAAAAGTGAGAAAAGAAAAGCGAAAATACCAGTCACCGGGGTTAGCTGTTTGTTCCCAGATTAATGGCAAGCGGCTCCCTCCTACTCCACCCCCCTCCACAAAGCTCACCAGTTCAGGAAATATGACAGGGAGGGGAGGGCAGTTATTAATAGCTCCCCAACTGATGTCACTCCCCGGGTGGGGGTCTTCTGGGGCTCTGGAGGGTCCTTCATTTTCAGCTGCTGAGATAGCTCCGGCGGCCACGTGTGCCTTAGGTCTGGCAGTTGAAGTCATCTCTGCTTCAATAGGGCTGTGGATAAAGCTGCACACAACTCCCAACCTAGCCAGCCTGAAGGCTCCAGGGAGGAGCCACTAACGACCTGGACCCTCAGCAACAGGTGTCCTGGGCCTCTCTTCAGAGGAGCCAGGAGGTAGCACTCCCAGACTGTGCTTGCTGTTTCTGATGAATCAAGGGACAGAGAGATGCCTGCAGGGCAGCAACCACAGCAGGTGTTTCTGCCTCTGCTTCAGGCATCTGGGCCATGATTTCTAAGAGCCAAATCCTTCAGACAAGTATTTCCATGTGCCTCACCGACCCTGGCTTATTCTCTCCCACTCAAGATGAGTGAAGGCTTCTCTCTGGAAAACAAATTTTTTTGCCAGCCAATGAAAGACCAGACCACTTGTGAAAGGCAAAGTCATTCTTTTCAAGGTCCCAGCATACCTGCATTCTGGTGACTGCTCACCTAGCACAGGCTGATCCTTGTGGAGCCACACCAGGTTCTAGAAATGTGCAGACAATGTTCCCGTGGAAGAGGTACAGATGTGTGCTCACTGTATGGATGCTGTTTCTTCCATCTCTGAATGTGGCCTGTGAGGAACCCTCAGGAAGGAACCTAGAACCCATTCTCTGGGTTGCTCACTAGATTCCTCTCCTCAGTAAATCCCTGTAGGAAACACCTGGAGAAAAGAAAGCAGAGGCCACATTGTGATCTACACATAAAAACTTGCTTCACTATGGCTGGGGATTTGCCTAGCTAATTAATTCCTTCCACTCTGAACAGGGAATCCAGTCCTTTCCTGGGAACACAGATATATGGTTCATGTTTGACCTCGATGTCCATGTATGCCCATGTCCATGCATGCCTTCCAGCAAGGAGAAGTTCAGTGCTGTGGGGTTCTTGCTGTAATACCTTGCTTCTGTGGGGGCCTCATGATGTCTGACTGTGGCTCTATGCTATAAATAGTCCCCTGGTAGATCGAAAGGCTTAATGGGCCTCTTTAAATACCTAAGTTATTATAAAGCCCTGGGGAGAATAACATTAGCAGGCAGGGAGGGACAAGAATCACACTCCCCCTGTAGAAGTCCTATTACAGTGTTCTTGGTTTCACTCTTAGGGTGCAGAGTGGGCAGGAATTTTCCTATTTATACTCCTTAATGTGCAGTGGGGGCTAGAGCACATGAGAGAGTATGAGAGACAGCCTGCATGAGCAAGGAGGAAACTGAACTTAAAGAGGTCAAGGGACCGTCCCAAAATTGCCCAGGAACACCCTGGCTGCTGTGGGCTCAACAGGAAGGAGCTTTAGTTGGAGCACTGTTCGGCTTTTAAACACACTTCATAGTTTGGTAGACTAGCAAGGAAATCCTCCCTTTCAGACAGACGGGGAGGGACACAGTCCCTAAACTTGGCACAATGAGAGAATGTGGGACGCAAAGAAAAGTTAAATGACTCAAGGACCCAGACTGTATGTGCTGGCTCAGGGACACTGAGCTGTTTGAACATCCCAATGGACATCCCAATGGACGCCACCCACCTTGACATGCAAAAGTTTTACTTTTTTTACTGAGAAGTTTGACATGGCGTTTTCAGCAGTACCTCGCCTTCCAACCACTCTCAGTAACAAGTCAGGAGGATTCACAGCCATTCAGAAATTAGTGAAATTTTATTCCTGGTGGGGGCACTGGATTAAGAGGCCGGGAGAGTGTGAAGCTAGTCAACGTGTAATTGCATGATAAGGCTCTCACGAGGAATTTATTGGCCAAGTTGCTATTTCTATTCCTTCCCTAATCTCGTTTAGCACATTCGTTCTCTGCAATCTGTCTTCATAATCTCCTGTAGCAGAATGGCAGCCAATGGAAGCACGCGTGTTTGGAGAGTAGGGGAAATATGCAGAAGTGCGATAAACTGATGCTAATTACCCATATTTAGGACACCGAGTGCAGAAGATCAAGGTTTACAAATAACAAACCAGAGCCAATGATGATGGCTTCCTTGTGTGGGATATATTGGAGGGGACCAGATAAGGGTTTCACGGGCAGCAGGGATTTATTGGTCAAAGGCTGTACCTTCCACTTCCACACTTTTATATAGCAGTAAATTATTTCGGCTAAATTCGCCAGAACATCACTCTTTCATTTGGCGATGTGCCGTGACTTGCTCTTTCTTTGTGTCCATTCAATGCAAATCCTTGTAGTTTAACATCAGTTGATAAGAAACAAATAATTGAAGTAATAGGTAATTCCCTTTAAATCGTGCATATAGGAGGGTCCCTGGAAAATGAGACGAGGTAAAGAGCAGGGGCTGAAATCTAAGCAGTGTCACCTTCAGCCTCAGACCACAGGGTTATTACAGTGAGCCCACAGCACTGGCTTCTGCTTGTGGCAACAACCTGCTTGCCAAAAAGGAAAACCACTTCCAACATTATACCGACAGGGTCAGTGCTCCCATTTGGAATCCTGATCATATGATGATGATGATGGTGGTAATGATGATGATGTGGTGATGATGATGATGTGATGATGATGATGATGATGATGATGATGATGATAGATGATGGTGATGATGATGATGGTGATGGTGATGATGATGATATGATGATGGTGATGATGTGATAATGATGATGGTGATGATGATGTGATGATGATGATGGTGATGATGATGACATGATGATGGTGATGATGTGATAATGAGGATGGTGATGATGATTTGATGATGATGATGTGATGATGATGATGGTGATGGTGATGATGATGATGATATGATAATGGTGATGATGTGATAATGAGGATGGTGATGATGATGTGATGATGAGAATGTGATGATGATGTGATGATGATGGTGTGATGATGATGTGATGGTGATGATGATGGTGACCATTAAATAATATCTAAGTATAGTATTTCTCCCCTCACCATCTTAGCATTACTTGGCTTTTACCACTGGCCCTGTTCCTTCTACAACTCCTAGATCAGTGAACAGACACAGGAGTCAAGCTGGCAAAGATGGTGACAGGTGAGTTCTTGGCATTTAGGTAGTTGCCTCCTATGGGCGTTAGAGAACATTTGCAGCAAACCACTGCAAACATAAAAGTTCATTTTACAATCCATATGTTAGCTAAATGCAGCCAATGGCTTGCTTCATTCTTTGAGAAATTCTAGGGTATTTTTTTCCTTTTTCTTTCTTTCTTTCTTTTTCTTTTTTTTTCTGTAGCTTTTTCAGTTGGTAGTGGAGACAGCAAAGGGCTGTCTGTTAGAGAATGTGGTGAAATTGTATTGTAATAAAAGGAGTCATGCTCTGGTTTGGGGATATAATTTACAGCTTCCTATTAGTAAGACAAGCTGATCTTGTCACAAATTATTTTTCATACTAGATCACATGGACTACAAATTATGTCGAGCTTACCTCCATGGACACATATTTTTCCTCTGTATCCCAGCAAGCCTGGGTGTGTCTATTCCATGTATCACTGTGAAAGAAAAAACAACAACAATGTCAGTGATTTCCTGCAGAAGCTAAGGGTACACCAGTCTCCAGAGATTATAAAAACATTTCCTGTGTATATCTTAGAACCCAAGGGATGAGAGGTTTCAATAACCGAATTATGACTTTATAATGAGTGCCAGAGTAAAGAGAGTTACCTGGCCCCGTGGTTGACTTTTGATTTTGACTTGGATCTCTAGAGCTGATGGGGTGACATGGTCCCTTTCTACCTCAGTTACAGGAAGTTAGCTCACAGGTCTTCCCTCTGTGCATTTTGTATGCATCTCTGAAACATCTACACCACTCAGTGAGTCCATGGGTTGTCTATGAAAGTTAGTAACCATTATTTTCAACATATGTTAAGTTCAGAACACATCAAGCAGTCAAACTTGGACCAATGGAAGCTAGTTTAAAAATTCTTTTTACACTAATGATTTCTTTTTGTGTTTTTGAAGACAGACACAGAGGCCAGCGTATCTCTGGGAAGACTTGAAAAAGGACAAAGAGAGAAAAGTTACCAGATTATTATTATTATTATTATTATTATTATTATTATTATTTATTATTATTATTCATTGTGCCCCTACAAGTGTGTGTGTGTGTGTGCCTCTAAAGGTATTATCAGGTATGGGTGGGTGTGAGCATGTGTGTGTGTCATTGCAGTCGTATTAGTTCATGCAAGCATGGGCAAGTATGTATATTTGTGCAGATGTGTATGTGTGTGTGTGTGTGTCCCTGAAGGTACATATAGGGATATGTGTGTATCCCTACAGATATGTTTGTGTATGCAGGTATGATCAGGTGTGGGCAGGGGTATACATGTGTGTGTACCTGCAGGTTTGTGTGGGTGTGCTTGTATTTAGGTATAGACACAACCTGTGCACATTTGTGTCCCTACAGGTATTCAGGTCTATGGAAAGGTGTGTGCATGTGTTCATGGGTAGGTCTGCACCCTAGCAGCAAGTGGCTCTTTGTATCCCTGCCTGAATGAAGCCCAGGTAGAAGGGAAACCAAAGAGGTGCAGAGAAGAGAAAAACAGAGGGTCTGGACTGATCTCTTTCTGGAGACCAACTGCTCACCTAATGCTCCTGAATGCTATCTCAGTGCTTAGCCCCAGGGTTAAGGGTGGGGTGGGCACCTGAGCTGTTCCTCATACACTTGTCCACTGACTGGATCTTCAGGACCCCCCATTTCCCCAGCACATGATTCGCTCTCACCAGCTTGACTTTCAGGAACCCTGCTTCCTGCCTCCTGCTGAATCCTCTTCACACAGGAGGCTTTGGGTCTCTCATCTTAAATCACAGCCTCGTGCCCGCTGACAGTGACATTGGGGCATCTGAAATGGACAGGGAACTCTAGTGATTGGCTAAGAACTGGTTATGGGTGACTGCAGATAACACACAAGTGCTTGGAGTGTTGAAATACACTTTCAGCTCCAATGACTCCAAACAGCTCCCAAGGAAAACAAATAAACAGAACTTCATCACTGAAACTACCCACTCCATGTCACTTGCAGCCATGTCTCTTTAGTTTTGAAGAAGTAGAAAGGCTCCCACATCTTAACCTATAGAGCAGTGGGCCCTTGACTCATTCTGCAGCTGCAGGGGCTGACAGGTCACCAAGGGGTCATCTGCAGACACTGGGAGCTCTCTCCCCTCTCCCCATTTTCCTACA